TCGATTACAATTGTAATTGATTACAGATAATTACAGGTATGAAATCTATTACTTGTAATCACGATTACAATTAACTGATTACAGTAATTGGTTAAGTTATGACTATATTTTTAGCATACCCTGATGCAATCAAAAATTAAAATTTCTCATAATGGTGAGAACAAGCAATCGATTACGTAGCAGTAATCCATTACAGTTGTAATAGATTACTGAATTGCTGCCCAAATCTAATATGTGCATATGATTATTCAAAATATGTCAGTTAATAAGTTATAACTGAATAACAAGATACATAAATTATACACCATAACTAACAAGCAGTTCAAAATTTAAAACATCAGGGCACCAATTAAACACGATGCATAACAGTAGTATAACGCATAGTAAGAAAAGCAAGTGATGTTTGAGCGAGTGGTATATTCACTTTCCATTCTAATTAACATTCAGTTGAAGACAACAATATACATTAGAATGTTCTCCGAAATTAAAGACCCAAATAACTGTTTTATAACTCTTTCCCCTGCCTACAATCTGAAAGGTTACAAATATTAAAACAGAAATATAGCAGAAATTTGAACTAATTATAATTTAACCAGAAGTGGCTGCAAATGCATTTGATGTTGTTAGTCCAAGGACCGTCACAAGTTTAGGCATCTTCAGGTGGCCGGTCCCTAATGATTAGACAGGAATAAAAATCTAATCTAAAGAATTTTAACAATTTTGAATCAAATTGAATCATAAACAATTTTAATGATTTTAGAATTATCTAATATAATAGCTTCACAAAAGAAATCCTATTTTTACTAAGCATAGCTTAAAAACTATTTGTATTTTTCAAATAGAATTGCAAAATTTAAAACACTTGTAGCTTTCGAGGACAACTGAATTTAAAAAAATATTTATACAAATAGAATAAAGATAGAAGTAAAAGTTTGCCACAGGAGGAAAAAGCCAATAGGTATAGAAAAAAAGAAAAACAATTGAAACAGGAACAAATGTTTATTACTTTACATGACTTGATGAAAGACAAATATAAAAAAAGAAAATATACAGTAATTCAAAAGAAAATGAAGACATCAGTTTAAGCTCATATGAATATTTTAATCCTCTTCTCCCTCCTCCACTTCATCTTCTTCTTCTGACTCATCCATTATTGCAGCCATAACAATATTATCACCCCTTACAAATAGTTTTTGGATATGACGCTTTTGTGGGGCAGGACGTTTTTTACTTTTGCTGCGCCTCTTCTTTTTCTTTTTTCCCTCTGCACCTGCAGCAGTACTCTCAGTACCAGATTCAACAGGTTCAGAAGGTGGAGGATTACTTTCTCCGGCTTTTGGGTCTTTTTTCTTTTTTGGAACTTTTTTTGGCAGTTCAGAAAAGTCCTGTGCAGCTGTCAAATTCTCCAAAAAAGGAGTTTTTGATTTGCGAGGTTTCAAATAAATTTCATCGACGTCATTCATCAGCAGGTTCCAGTGCTTGTCAAAGGCTATTACATAGCCTGTGCATATTCCTCGAACTTCTTTGAAGTTTCTTGTCCACACCTTTTTAAAGAGAAAAATTAATGTAAAAGAAACGTATTACAAAAGATGTGAACCCTAAAAATAGTGAAACAATATTCAAAAACTAGGTTTCATCATTTATTTAGAAGAAAGAGAAAATAATAATAGAGGACAATGCATTCTTCACACAACTGCAATCCAATAAAAACCAATTCATCTTTTAGACCAAAATATAGTTGTTGCTAAGCAAGTCAGCAATGTTAAAAGCCTTAGCTCCATATATATCCAAATACATATGTATTATCAAAACTGGCATGAACTCCAGACATTATAATCAATTACAAATATTAAAATTTAGAGCAAAAATAGAAGAGAAAAAAAAGGATTTTCTTAAAACATTGGAATAGTTAAAAACTGGAGATATTTGAAGAGTTAAATACCACGGTAAATACCAGAGATTTTTAATTTATTTAATTTAAAGAAAATGCATTGCAACATTCTATTTTGCAAACTACTCTATATTATATACTATTATCTATCAAAAACTACACTTTTAAGTTTTTAAAAAATTCATAGTGTTTTAATATATATATATATA